GGCAGTTCTTATGTTTCTAAGCAGCTGGTGGGCCTTTATTTTTCCTCAAAATTCTGGTTTTTGGCTTTTGAGCAGGTAATCCGTAGGGAGCTGCTAGGGAGTACAGATTGTGTATTTTCGTAGGGCAGTTCTTACTTACAGTGACGGCTGCGGGCTCCTCATAGGGCACTTTTTTAGTTATGGTCTGTGGGGGTTAGTAGTACAGCTATTTCTCGGAATATCGGTCTACATGCATTCCATAGAGCACTTCCTTTTGTTAAGAGGTCTACGTGTTCCACAGGGCTACTTTTACTCAAAAAGTTTGTGGGGGGGGGGTATTCTAAGGCAGTATTCTAAAACGTTGTTCTGTAGAACCCCTCTTTCACAAGTTTGTAGTTGAAGGTATGACTGATTTGGGAACTCATTGTTTTGCGTAAACATTCTGTGGTAGTTCCTCAACGTTTACGCCTTCAACTGCTCACATTCTCATCTTCCTGCTAAAGTTCATTGCTGCCCATAATTGATGAGGACTGATGAGAGCAGTTCTTTGTTTTTGAAATAAAAGTTGGTATGCTGCCCGTGGGGTGATTTTTGTAGGTCTCTAAGGCTCATAGGGCATAATTCTCAAAATCGGTCTGTTTGCTATCCGGTTCGTACTTATTTTTTTTTTCAGAATACTGCTTTTCAAGGAGCTCCCAGAGCTCCTTGAAAAGCAGTATCCTCAAACCAATATCTCGAAAAAAAAAACTGCCCTAAGAGCCGCTCAAAGACCGATATTTGAGAAAAAACCGCTCTGGGAGAGAGCGGTTTTTTCTCAAATATCGGTCTTTGAGCGGCTCTTAGGGCAGTTTTTTTTTCGAGATATTGGTTTGAGGATTTGCAGCTGAGATCCGGTACGCGGCAAACGTTGAGGGATACATTAGCCGTGGAGCGCGCCAGCGCAATCATTGGCCGTAGTTGGCAAGACAGCTAAAGTTGGCCGGGGGGGGGGGGGATTTTTCAGGTGTACTTCGAAAGGATTTCCCCCATGTAGATTTTTGCCTGATCTGGAGGGAAAAAACAAAAACGAGCATTTGTTCCAAAGTTGTCTTTCTTTGGAAAAATGTTGAGAAGCCAGATGCAATCGAGTGACTCTCTCAATGTACTTACGTTGCTTTCGCTGTTGTTGTTTGCGTTCTGTAGTTGTTCCTTGCTAGCTATTATGGTATCCTGATGTAATAACATAATAGAATATCTTTCCGTTAACATTTCCTTTCAATGAGCTGGCTGGCTATCTGCTGTATAAAACTGATCACCCACTAGTATTAGTAGAAGACTCTTCAAATAAAAAAGTAGCACCCAATTTCGCTCGGAATTCAGCAGAGCACATGATGGCTGCCCACAAAGGGATAGATACGGCATGCAAATTCATAGTTAGGAGAATATTTCGACACTGGCACAAAAAGTGGAATTCCTATGCGTTTCTGTAAAGTTTCGAAAGTTTAGCAGTTCTACACTCAAGGATGAACGGACTAAGGGTTATTATGTTCAACAAAACACTAGCAATGTATGCGAAAAGTCAATGCAGATATTTAGATTTCTTCAAATGGCAGTTTCGTTTGAACAGACTAGACTTCACTCAAATCGACATTGAATTCAACTTTTTCAAGATAAAGGTTTAACAAAATATTTGTCGCAAGGAAAGAGTGTCAAGCGTGGTTTCTGTACCACAGAAACAGAACACAAACAGACAAAATACTTCAGAATCGATACAGTGTCACACTCATTTCGTCAGCGGAACTATCAGTGGCGATAGGTTGAATGAAAGCTCCACTCTTTCCAAAATTTCGTGAAACCTACTTGCCTTATGCGGCCAATACAAAAACACTATCACGATTAATCCTGTATATGAGGGGAACTGATCTGAGGATTCATTTCAGGCCGTCAAGTCACTGGCACAAACTTTTGTTTGTGCGTTACCAGCGTCAAAATATGAATAGGCAAAATCTTCTAACTTCTAACAACACTTCCTGCATACGTCCGAACGATACTTAAAGGCACCGTCTACCCAAAATCTCAAATTCAATGTTTTTGTCGCCTTCAGGCCTTCTGAAAGCCCTGATTCCCAATATGGAATCGAAAATCCACGAAACCCCCAAACGCCCACTTTGCTACTTCCGGAGCGGATTTCTCGCTCCAGAAGCAGTCTTTTGCAGCGAAGCTTGGAGGTTTGTCTAGTATGGGGGCCCACAAGTATGCCATCATAATCTCGCCAACCTCCATTTTGGGTGGACGGTGCCTTTAATTCTGCATTAATCATCAACTGCAAAATTTCAGCATCAGTATTAGGAAGCAAACGCGAAAGTATTCAAGGCAACATTCCTATGGTATCTACTTCCGCATACCAATTGAAGCTGTACTTGAAGTTCAACAGAAAAAGCAGTTTGAGAGAGAGCGCACATGCTCACAAAATCCAAGATAACCAATTTTTCAAGTCAGCGGAACTGTTGAAAATGATAAACGTTGCAACTTGCACGCATCGAAAATGCAAACCCGACATCTTTTTTTGAAGCTAGTCATGGGAAATATGAAGTCCACATTCTTCAAAGTTCTTTCTCACTAGATTGAGCAAAAAAGATGAAAGACCTTCGAAGCACTTACTTGCCTTCCATAAATGAAAAGCAAAAGTTATCATGCACAAATTTGGCTTAGAAATGACGAAAATGAGATTTTATCGACCAAGAAACATCAAAAGGATGTTAGAGAACAAAAACATGTGAAAACTGGGCCAACATTAGCTGTCTTGCCAGTACGGCCAATGATTGCGCTGGCGCGCTCCACGGCTAACGTATCCCTCAACGTTTGCCGCGTACCGGATCTCTTTGCAGCGAGTTCTTTTTTGATATGTAGGTCTGTAAGCGGCCCATAGGGCAGTTCTTTCCCATAAGAGAGTGGTCTGCAAGAGCCCATGGGGCAATTCTTCATCAAATATCGGCTTGCGGGTCTTCGCCTTCTCCCTATAGGGCGGCTCCTTCAAGTAATTATCGATTTGCAGGCGGCCCATACGGCGCTTTTTTGGAATATCGGTCTATAGAATCCATACGACAGTTCTTTCTCAAAAGTTTGGTTTGTAGGTGGTCCGTAGAGCAGTTTTATCACAATATGCTGTGGTTTATATGGATTTCAAGGCACTTCTTCTTCATAATATCATTGTGTAGGTCTCTAAGTAGCTGGTAGCTTCGTTTTTTCTCAAAACTTTGGTCTGCTGATAGAGCGGATCATACGTGAGCGCCACGTAGGCGTACAGTTTGTAGGGTAGGGTATAGAATATCGAGCTGATGGCCATAGGGCAGTGCTTTCTCATAATTAAGAACCATAAGGATCTGCAAGCGGCCCATAAAACATTTCCTTTTAATAACTAAGTACCGTGCAAGCGGCCCTTAGGGCAGGATTTTTCGTTGTTAGCAGCCCATATGGCTTCTTTGCAATATTAGTTTGTAGTGGGTGGGGGCGTACGGCAGATTTATTCCAGAGATGCATTTGTAGGGTTTCGAAGGGTTTGTTATGTTTCCAAATTCCCTCTTTGCAGGAGGCCGCAGGAAAGATTTTTTTTCTTGTAATTACCTTCTGGAGGATCAAAGGGCGGTTGTTACATATATCGCTCTGTAGGCGGTATACTTTTTATAAATAAACAGTGCAGAGCACTGTATATTTGTAAAAAGTAGTCTGTGGGCGACATTAATCATTCTAAAATCATGAGCGACTGGAAGGGGAAGAGGATTGCCCAAATTATTGGTCCATAGGCGTCCATAAGGCACATCATTCCTACAATTATTGGTCTGTAGGCGGCGCAGCAGCTTCTCTTCAAGATATTATTTGTATGTAGCTTAATATATGGTTTGCAAGGGCTTACAGTTTCCTCTCCAATGTGGTTCGCAGAGTACTTGTAAAGAGGGCGGTTCGAATTGAAAACCTCAGTCTTGAAGCGGCTCCTAGGGTCTTCTCAGAATATTGGCTTGAGTGTTTGTAGGGCAGTTCTTCCTCGAAATTTCGGAAAAGCGGCCCGTAGGGCTTTTTTTTTGAAATATCGGTGTAGAAGCTCGGATAGTTGAATTATCGGTCTATAAACCCATATAGCACTTCTTTCTCAGGACATCGGTTTGTGAGCGGACGGTGTCAATTTCATCCCGGAATATAGGTTTGTAGGGGCTCGAAGGGCAGTTCTTCCAGAATTCTTTGTAGGAGGCCCCCATAGGAAAGTTTATTCTTCAAAATTGGTTTGTAGGGGTTTACAGGGTAGTTCTCTTCGAAAATATCGATCTGAGCGACCCATTTTTATTTAATTTCAATAAATCTCGGCCAGTAAGCGGCTCTCATGGCTATGTCGAATATGAGAGGATCTTAGGGCAGTTCTTGATATTGCTCTGTAGGTTCGTTAGCAGTTCTTTTCAAAATGGTCTGTAAGCGGCATGTAGGGCATAAAATCTCAATAAGTGTGATAGTAAGCTGCCCCCTTGGGCACCTCTTCTCAGAATATTAGGTTCTGAAGGCTTACGCTCCAGTTCTTTTCATAATTATTGGTTTGCAGCCCACAAGCAGTGCTTCTTTCAAATATGTGTGAGTGGCCCGCAGAGAGCCTTTGTGAATAACACTTTGTTGGAAGAACGGGCGGGGGAGGGAGGTAGTAGGGCAGTCCTTATTTAGAATATCGGTCTATGAGCGACCCACTGTGGTTCATAGGGACATCCTAAAAACGGCCCACAGCGCAGTCCTTTTTTATAATATCAGTTCGGAAGGTATGGTTTGTAGGATATTCATGCAGTATCTTTATTCTTATGGACATAGGAAGGCTTTTTTTAGTTAAAAGTTTGCAATGTTGAGTGACTATTCTTTTGGACCCAAATGACTTTGCCTTACCAGCTGTAAGCGGCCCTTAGGGTCGCTAGCAGAAATAAATTTGCGAGATGCTCTGCTGCATATTACCGATCGCCTTTTGCAAACAGGAAAAACGCACTGCCTCTATGAAATAGATAAAAACCCACCTTTACAAGACTAGGAAACAATTTTTCCATTGCCATTGGACTGTTGATCACTTGATACCAGAGGCTTTGGGCAGCAGGCATGACTGCTGGAGTAAGCATCATCACGACTTCGACCACCTTAAGAAAAGCATGAGTGCAACGCTCAGATGCGCCTACTTACGAATGTGATTCGTGTCCTTCAATCCTTTTGTGGGCACAGTCTCCGAAAACTTAGCCCTTGAAAGTACACAACGCACAGGAATATTTATTGAGAAACACAAAGAAATGGTAAAAGAAGAGTCAAGGCAAATGAGGACTGACATTAGCTAAGAGTGAGCGTCATTTATAGCGCTCATTCCCACGCACACTGGGACTGAATCGACTAAGCGATTGCACCTAGGTTGAACAATTGATCCTCTCGATCACAACACTTCCAGTGAGGTGGTTACAAACAACAACTGCGACAAAAGCATAAACACTGGCAAATAAATCAAAATAACCGTACTAGATCACTAATATGCTTGAAACCTTTGCATAGGTCTGGGGCGGTATGTATCACTCGCCCGTCCGAGTAAGTTACCCGGACAGTTAGTTTCCACTCCATAGCTTGGTGCTCTGGGGATCTGTGTTCTTCCTTGTTAGTTCATCTTTTGGAGGCTCTACTACCCTAATATTGTAGCACAATGAGTAGCAGCACTTGCTGTATAAGCTGAGATAATTCGTTATTAGTATGATCCCGAACGGGATCTCCCACTGATCACGCTCATTTTCAAAGTTGTTTATATCCGCAAAAATTCAATAAAAACGTCGCAGAATTTTGCTACTGATTATTACGACAGTGCTAGGCATGTTTCTGAAAGAAATAAGTGAGAAATCAACTTGACAAAATCTTCGATGAACCTGTGCTCGATTTGAGCTTTATCAAAAAACTCAAAACTTGCAAATTTCATCTGTGCTACTAAAAACTTGCGTAGCACAGTCGTAATGGATCGACAGCTCTGTGACGTTTTTATTGAGTTTTTGCGGATATAGATAACTTTGAAAATGAGCATGATCAGCGGGAGATCCCGTTCGGGATCATACAATAAGGAATTATCTCAGCTTATACAGCAAAGTGCTGCTATTCATTGTGCTACAGTATTAGGGTGATAGAGCCTCCAAAATATAAGCGACGAGCAAGGACACAGATCCCCAGAGCACCGAGCTATCAAACGGAAACTACCTGTCCAGGTAAGTTATCCGGACGGGCGATTGATACATAAGGCCCCTGATTTCACGTACAGGACGCACCTCTTCCTAACTTTCGCGAACAAAGGCCCTATATAGTACTGCGTACTGCCTGGGAGCATCATGCGACATAAGTATCGTTTTAAACCAGCGAGGCGGTTGAGCGGCTCGCATGAATGATCGAAAAAGGTGCGTCCTGTACTCGTGAAATTAGGGTAGTAGAGTCCTTGCATAGTTACAGCGAAGCCCATGTGTATCCGCTGTCACACTTGAGTCGCGGATGGTCATGCTTCTGATGGTACTTTCATCGCAATTTTGGTGACATTTCGTAAAACTTCATACTAAGCCTTCGCAATCCTTGTTGATATTCGGCCAGTAAAATAACTTCGAGCCAGCTTTTTCAATCTTGGAATTTCTGGATGTCCAACATGTAGTTCCTTCAGAAAAACTGCCCGAAGCTGTTTGAGTATCACGACTGTTTCGGCTGACATCAGCCACACTGCCATAATTGAAAATGTCTTCAACCGATTTCGAAAATGCGCCAAATCTCCATTCACCTTCGCAATTTTCCTTTCTGCACGCACTTCAGTACTATTCTCATTAACAGATCGAATATCTTAGTGTTGACATATTCTATGTCAAAGTCATATCCCAGCAAGACTGTATCTATCTTGAGTCGACTGGCGGAGAACACTGGATCTCCCTTTCTATCACCAAGATGGCTAACAACGGTTCACGGTCCGTCAACGATAGACATTCTCGTCCAAGTATGTATTTAGGGTTTCCTTGACGGCGAAAACAATTCTCAAAACCATAGGTGCGATGGAGTGAACGGGGTCCCTCCAAGGTGAAGGGTGTCTCAGCTGATTTTGACCCTCAAAAGTGAAGAGTGTCTGAAAAGTGCCGGCGTCGACCGGGGGGGGGGGAACTGAAAAAATGGTGAAAAAAAATGGTAAAAATTGTAAAATTATACAGTTTAAATGGTCAAATTTTCTAAATTGGATTTATTTGAGATATAATTAGTGAAATGTTTATGAGTACTTTGTTTTCAATTTCTATAATTATTATTTCATTTTCATACACCATTTTTGGTGAAAAAATGCATGTTCAGGTGGGTGGAACGTGTAGTTGTAAATGTGATTTCGACCGAAAATTGCAATGGACAATGGCAGATACTCGAGACTTGGAAGGTGCTGAATGAAGTTATACTTGGAACTTACGAATGTGGATAATGTTAATAAGAGAGTCCGCGATTATTAGGAATTATTGTTGCAAATAAATCCGTAAGTCGGTATCTATGGAATGCAATAAGAAAATTTGTTGCTCATTTGTCCGCTTGAAGCAGAATAAACATACACAGTGTAGCACAGTGATAAGACTAGTATAATTGATGTCAGGAGAAATTTCTAAGGCAGTAAAGTTGAAGCTACGATGTTGACGATAATTGAGCAAGATCAGTTTTTCTAACTTGAGTAACTTGCAGTAATCTCCAGTATAACTCTTGTACAAATGGGCTAAAGCCAATTCTAAACTAGATTTGGGATCTGGCCTTTAAAAGCTATAGAACGATTTATAATTTGTGAGGTTCAATATCTTTGCCAGGTGAGATAGTTTCCAGAAGTCCAACGGTACCCCCCCCCCCCACGTCAGAGCCCCATATCTCTACGGTGGGGGCATTTCATGATTTGATTTTTTTTGCATCTTCAAGAGGGAGGTCCATTTAGTATTCCCTATACCCTCGCAAAGAGATTTCACGGGAGCGACTGGCTTAAATTTTAAATTTATCTGTTTTTCAAGCGCCTTTTATTCCTTGCTGTAACTCTCCTTCAGTATATCCGATCTCTCTGCGAGGGTATAGGTAGACTCAGTAAACTCACTCTGTAAGATGCAGAAAAAACTGAAGCATGAAATGCCCCCGTCGCCGAGATATGAAGCTGCAAAAAAAACCCATCAAAAATCGATTTTTTAAATATAACTTTTATGTGAGTAAATAAATCAAAACGGGAATAGTATAGGTGGATTCGTCTCCTCAAGAGCTTTCGAATGATATATAACATGTAAGGGTTTGATGCTTCCGGGTTGCGGGAAGGGGGGGGGGGGTGATCGGGCTCAGTTCAGGCTGATCACCCGCCGGCGCCTCTCCAATGCATTAAGATGGCGGGGGGTGATCACCCTGAACTGAGGCTGATCACCCCTCCCCCCCTCGCAGGGCTTAAAAAACATAGGACCCCCACATGCTATACATCAATCGAGAGCTTTTGATCAGTAGAATCTACCTATACCCTTCCCGCTCACATTCGTTATCACACACACAAGTTATTTGCGAAAAATCGATTTTTGGAGACGTGATTTTTGCTCTATTTGCGACTTCATAACTCTAAGAGGAATTCTTTTTAAGATCTACTTTCTTTTCTATGTGATAGAGGGAAGGTTCCTTACTAACGCCTATGCTCTCCGAAGATGACATTCTGCAACTTACTCAAGTTATACTGACTCAAAATCTGACTCCTTAAATATGGCCAGCTTTGTGACTTCAACTGTACTGCCCTAGAGATTTCTCCTGACAACACCTATACTGTTTTTATCATTGTTCTGGACTCTATATGTTTGTCATGCTTTAAGCAAAAACAACTGAACAAGAAATTCTTTTATTGTACTACAAAATACCGACATAATAATTTCTTTGCAAAAAAATTCATGATCAATGCAAGGTCTCTTATTAACATCATTCACACCAATATTTTCCAGGTTCAAGCCTCTAAATATTTGCCATTCTCCGCTGCCCATGTTATTGTCAGTCGAAACCATTTTTATAAGATTTCGCGTTCGTTCCTTCTAAAAATGCATTTTTTTCATTGAATATTTTTGTAATTTCGTGCGCAGTAATTCCTCATCTTGAAAAAAGTTTTCGTCCGTTTCAGGTGAAGGGGGGGGGAGGGTGGTCCGACCTCCAAAGTGAAAGGGGGGTGAGCATTTGCTCACCCCATCGCACCTATGCCGCTGGCGTCAGCTACCACAAAATCTTCTCCATTGGATCATGATGAGCAAGATTCAGCTCACTCGACAATGTCTTAGGCTTTTCGAACGCTTCCTGGTAGCACATAAATACACAAAAAAGGTTCCCAAGCGAAAACCGATATAATATTGGAATCAGTATGCCGGAACCCCTCCCCCATCTAGACAAAGACTCGAGCAAAGGGACTTCGACCAGGGCCCTGCACAGATCGTCTGGAAGCAGGCTGGACTGTTTTTGGGACACATGGCAAAAGGGATATCTTACGGGGTTCACACTTAATGTAGTGACAAAACCACTGAGTTAAGCGCACAAGCTTCGAATTCAGTGGCGGTATTCATCAACAAACCCAGTGGGTTCCGTACCCATTGGGTAGGCTTAACCCACGAATCGCTATTCACGAAGCTAGTGGGTTCCGGAACCCAGTGGGCTAAGCCTACCCAGTGGGTTCCGGAACCCACGAAAAGCCACTTAAGCGGTATTCACAAACGGATCCCTTGGGTTCGCGAACCCAGAAGTCAAGCGTACCGGTATTCACAAAACAAGTTATCCAGTTTTCGTGGGTTCCGGAACCCACCTCTTGCCGAATATTGTATGGGTTCATATAAGCAGGGATGGTTACTACTAGCACCACATATACATTAATAGCACTTTCCATATTGCGGAATAAACGAACTTAGACAAACATGAACAAATTTCATTTTCCATTTTTTTTATGACTGACAGGAATTTTGTTGGACAAATTTTGATGAGGTATTCCACTGAGATGTAGGACAAACTTGATGCTAATCGCAATTCGGCAATCTTCGAAAAGTAGCAAACAAGCTTTCTACGGAAATGATGACAACGTGAAAGCCTGTGCATTTTCTGATGTTTGTGCGTACTATCTCGGAATTTT